GGGGGGGGGGGGGGGGGAGTCACTATCAAAAGAAGCGAGGATACCACGCTAGGATATCCATAATGTAATGTAATGTAGGCATGACAACCAGAATGAAGTAGGGCGTATTGCGTAGCCCAAGCAAACCAAACAACTGCCCATATAAATCAATTAGGACTATTCAGTTTTGACACCAGCACAATGGATCGACTGAACATCGGCAGGTGCGCAAGTCATCTAAGGACAAACCGACGGATACACAACAACCGGGGCGGGGCTGATAATCAGGCCAAATAGCAAACATCATTGGAGAGGGGATCGGATTTCTTGGTCTCTTTATCGACTTCATCATGCCTAGCGCAGTGAACGTAGACAGGGAACCCAGCTAGGTACAGTAAGGTGAACACAATCAACACGAACAGCCTACATGATGACAGCACCAATAAACGATCGAGTCCAAACTCATGAATTGTGCTGCATTCACTGAATCCGTGTGGCGAGAGGACTAAACTTGACATCTCAGCCAACGAAGAGGACTATTGGAGAAGGTCGAAAGCAGATATCAAGTATTGAAAATGAAACTGGGTTGAACGGGGAAATGCGAAATGCATGTCTAAGTGCGATCTTGGGAGGATTAAGCAGCCCAAACTTGATCACAGGGTTTCCTGTTTCACTCCTATCCCCAAACCGGAAGAATTTCATCCTGTGGTACTGTTTGGGTGTCAAACAGCCCATCTTTGAAGGAACCACTATGTGGACAGTCGTGGAAATTGAGGATTGATTTCCTGAGTATGACAGTTTGTATACTGTTCCAAAGGGGAACTCACATAGGTAACTCTCCCAAGAGGCGACCAAGTGGTGTCACATGTCAGTGTGTAGTTCAAGGATGCACGGAGGAACAAGTTGGAGTAAATGAGGAATTAACACGAAACCAGTTAACTGTGTGCCTTACCGAATCTGTAGCGGTATAAATTCAGGTCCATTGCGAATATCTCAACTACAAACACGGTGCTTACTCTATGGAAAGTACGCATTTCCCTGGATAGATGATACTTATTTTTCCCATTCTTTGTCTATATTTCTGAACCGTACTGGTGCCTGTTCATTTGAAATCGACTGATAATTCAATAAGCCTCGACTGCCACATGTGGTAGACGATTTCAAACAAACCGGGATTCTCAGTAATGTGCAGAAAATTATGCAAAACCACTAGAATGCTTCTGAAATCCTTTCCGGATTATCCCACAACCGGATCAAATAAAAAATTACCTTTCTGAATTCATTATGAATGCAATAGGAGTGGTTTTGCATTCAAGCCTCGTGTAGCTGACGACTACGCATCAGCTTCATGTGACCTACTAAACCTAACTTGATCCCACTTTGTTGTAGATGCACTGTGAAAATCTGCTTACCGGCTATTGGTAATTTGCTACAGGCAAGCCAATTCGAAACGCATGCATATACCGATTTCCATCAACTAACTGCACCGTTTCAACGCACACCAGTTTTATCAGCTTTGACCATTTTAACCAGACGGAGGTGTAGTCGTTGTTTCCGTCGGCTTTTTCGTTCTACACATGTCTAAGCCGGAAGAAGGGATATCATAAAGGTCAGCTTCGCCGAATCGGTGCTTTTCTTGCTCGGTAGCACGAATGTTTCGGACGATTTTTTTAGTTGCTGAATGTCATGTTCAAAGCATTCACACTGCCTGGCACTCGCTGCATCAGTCATTAAGTAGCACAAAACCGACTGTTCAACGGAGAGATCCCGTCCTGTAAGTGAAGCCAGTCTATGCTAAAAAAAATCGAGCAGCACTGTACAGCCGATTAATCTCTATTGAGAATCATCAACACTGTACATCTCAGATCCCGTGAACTCCCAGCTGATAGTGTGAACACTAACAACTCGACCACCGACGACTGATCAGCAGTGCGCTTAATTCTTTCAACGCAGCTAATGTTCAATCTGAGAAGTCACCACCCGAGAAGCCAGTAAACGTGTGACAACTCGATGGGATTCCTTGATCGAAAGATGAGTGGCCCTATATCCTGTCTAAGTGCGAGTTAAACATTCGCAAGATGAAAGGAAACTGAATATGTCTGGAAAAAGGATCACAAGAACCTTGAATACTCGGGTTTTGTATTTGCAATGACTTAATCCTGGATGACCTTCTTGCACCTCGAGGACTTGGAACACAACTGTTTGACATTTCATGTACCGGGAGTGTACGTATGTTCGCAGGCTTTGAACAGACGTTCATATGCATGGAAATGTTGAACGGGCATTCAAGTTAGGGTCCAACAGATTTACTTGCTCCGCATGGTTCTAAGTAGAACTCTTCAGCACTAAATCATTGGTGAGCAGAACACTGTGACGTACAACAACGACTGTCAGGGTTTTTTCGTGTAATGACTCTGGCCCATTAAGTTAGCGCGTTGCCCGTGCAATTCTCTGTTTGAATTTGTGATCATATTAGGATCTGACACACTTAAAATCGAAAACAGAGAGGGAATTTTGTCGACTTTTGGCAATACTGGTGATTCAGAAGGTTAATTCCTTACCTCGATCATTTGACTTTGCATTCATTCGTTTGCACAGGCTGGTGCTGTCACACGTTGCTGTTATGCACTTAATATGCGCCATATGCTAACTGGGTAGAGGGATAAAACTGGCCTCTGCCAACACCAGTGCAGCTGTTTGGGGTCGTATGACAATGCCACCCAGAGAGATTCCAGTCATTCGTTTTGTTTACACGGCGCTGAACCTACTTGGTGCGAAACCGTGATACGTGAACCCATAAAGTAACATTTATGGGTCGTCAGTCAGCGAAGCCTTCTCGAATCCTCCAAGTGAATGGTTACTAAGAGGTGCAACAGTTTAATCTGCGACCCCGTTCAACTAAGCTGTTAATGTCAAAAAAACCAAAGCTTATGATCGAATGGAGCACTTAAACCAAGAAATTTGCGGACATCTCGCTGTAGTTCGACGTGGGAACCTGCAGTATTTAGATCGAAGGGGAAACGGATGAAAATTTTTGGGTGATTGTCTAATTCCCGGTTCCCAAAAAATACTGTAGTTAGTCAGTTGTCAGTCCATTTAACTGACGGGAAGAAAGGCATACTTCGATACGGGTAATTTCACCTCACTTATTCCAGCCCACTCCTCACTACAGAAACCACCAAACTAAATAGCAATCGCACGCACTGCCCGATCGAGAATATCAGATCAAAAACTTATTAAATTGATTGGTCATCCGTTATTGAGTATCTGTATGACACTCGACCTGATGTCTTTCCAGTACCTGCCTCAGAGCAGTCATCAACTCAGGTTTGAAACTGCACGTTTATGTGGCGCACTAGTATTACCCAAAGTCCCTCAGTCGGGTTGAGCGCAAGTTGACCCGTCAAACGACTTCACACGACACACACCGGTCGGACCCAAGGTTGGGAACTAGTAGGATAGATAGCCACTGACTTTTGATCTATGAGATTGGGAGCCGGATACGTCCAAGAAAATTTGGATTACTACTACTACTACAACCGGTGGTACATCTCAGTCAGTCAGTTTAATAAAACTGTTTGCCCTGTTTGCAATGCAGTTCAGGCTTGGTTAGTCTATACTATCCTGAACATATCATAAACATGACTTGCACCGACAAAAGTAATTCCACAACGTGACGGCCGCTGTCTGATAACATCATTTCGAAGGCTAGTTTCTCTGCATATAGTGGAATCAATGAAGGGAACTTTGATACTGATGACACCTTAAAGCTCCCCATATGAGGACCCCTCACATCTCCCACCAACCCAGTGACAGATATTCCTCTAGAGGATAATTTGGTATTAGTAACTACTCCTTGTAAAGGTGTGCCTGGTAATGATGAGGATCATGTCTCGGCGTACTTTAAACTTCGATGGGATATGGAATGTGCCGCCTGCCATTTGAAAGGCTATAATTCCTCCATCCACTTTAACGAACTTTTTTGCCACCTACTTAATTTTCAGATCTTAGTCATCGCTTTCACCTTCACCTTGTAACTTTTTCGGTCAAAAAAGCATTGTGTTACCTGGCCTTACGTTTCAACAGAATCAAAATGCTAACCGAAAGTGCACCGTTCTTCTTTCACATGCTTTTAAAGTACGTCATAAGAGTAAGTTTCTATTATACTTTGAGGTAATACTTGACGTCGTTTTGTATCTAGTAAACGCTCTTCACATAATTTCAGTCAGCCCAAATGTATGCGAAGAAGGACATGGCCCACACCCTTACCTATATATGCAAGATTCACATGCTCGATGAGTGATTCAAATAAAACATGAGGGTGAGTATAAAAATTCTCACTGGTATGCATCATAGAGGAACTCCCTACCAAGGAACCCAATCATCATCACAGGTAGTCTACATACTTAAATGACGTCCTGTAGAATCTTGCTAGAAAGAAAGCATGATAATCTCCACAGAACGCTTTACAAAGCCGTTTGAAAACGCTGTACAAATACAGATCGGGGGTTGCTGGGATAAGAACATACCACGTTTGTGGGTACCCCCATATCGGTCCCTAGTCTGAACAGGAGTTCACCCTTAGCTCTATTCCGCGTCCCACATTCAACTCCAGTGGCCCACACGTGGGACGTTCAAGCCAAGGGGAGCTTGAAACCTGGTTCTCAAGGTGCTATCCAACTAGACGTGTCTCATGTGAAGATGTGCTTAGCCTTCGAAGTCAAAAGATTCCTTAAAAGAGGTGGGTAGATTAAGGATTTTTCACAGCTGAAATTGAGTTTATTTTCAGTGCAAGATACATTTCCGCACTTAAACACCGGTTCATTAGTCATCTAATCCCATCAGGATAGCACGTTCACACAGCAAAGTAAGGCTGCCGAACACCTTATGAAAGATATCCTCATCGAGTAACAGACAACCTTACGAAACTGCAAACAAAAATTCAACATAGAAGGAGAAATACGCGGGCACATGACAGGACCGATATACCTGCCGGTAACCTTCACTAAAGAAATGTCACCATTCCACTGAATGTGGGTGTTGCCAAAATCACTGGCATTATCCCTGTTAGTATTATTGGCATTTGTAAACAGATGAAGATTCGTCGACTGCAATGAAACAGAAACGCACCTAAAGATTGTGTCCGTATACGACAAAACAACCATCACCAGATCTGAAAACGGTCTGTCCATGGGATCGGGTTCTGTCACTTGGCATTTGCACCTGACGAAACCGTCATACAGTTTACACTTAGCTGTACAAAGAAGAATTGGGCTGTCAGAGTGGACTTCCAAGTGGACACAATATGAAGGAAAGAAAGAACCGAATATACAATGGATCACATCTAATGAAGTATAATGTATGTATTCCGTATAACCTACCGTGTTGCGGTTTTCCATGGAGACAGCGATCTCGAGGTGTGATATACTTTTAGATAAACGGCAACACTGGTCATGAGGCAGCGATGTTGGAGAAAGATGTAATGAATCAACCGTGTTCTGAAGTAGACTTTTTGAAATATCTCCGCTGTCCAAGTGGTCACCATCGACCGCGCCTATTGACGTATCTCCATCAGTTGAGCCGTCTGAGGATGCGTCTTCGCCGTCGGCTGAGGAATCGCGCACAGGCAGATGAGTTGGGGTTTGAGAAGTAATTTCAAAATCTGGAGCCTTTTTGATTTGAGTGAAGTTGAAAACTTGACGTTCTGTGGACGCCACTTCCTCAACCTCGTCTTCTTCCTGGAACTCGTCGACTTCGCGAATAAGATTTACACCCACATGTTGTAATCGACGACGCAACTCGGCAATTACACTGTGTAGTTCAGTCAGGCGATCTTCGTACCGAGCTGCCTGGTTGGCTAGTTGATTGCGAATTTGGTCGCGTTCGCGTTTGACTCGCTGAATTTCGCGAAGTCCAAAGTCTCGACTTGCCTGTGTTGTGGAGAAAGAATTGCAGATTTAATTAGAGGGAATTCGCCAGTGTATAAACAAGACAGTTTTGAGAGACAGACCAACGAAGAACAACCACTTTTACTCGGTACTCTTTTAAAGGACTTGGTAAAAAAACTCCAGAAATAGGCTGCTCCAAGAATGCCATCACTTTAGTGCATGCAGGTCAAAAGCATGTACTTGTGGTTATAATATGTTGAACTTTGTCGGCTTGGTCTATGCATTCATATCAAAGCTACTTCTGTTGATGAATCCTCTTCGCTGATAACTGCGGACAACCACGTGTCAGTTCGAATAATCTGGGGTCGTTTTGCATACACTTCTATTCTAGTCACATTGAGAAGTATGGAGATTTCTACCGCCTCAGTCTTTGTTGTGTGTACCGTAATCCCTGCCTCAAAGCTTCGACATTTTCTAGAACAATCTTTCGTCCCCTGTCTAGCGCATGCCCCACCACTGGTGAGTTTTTCAGTAACGCTGAGTTTTCCAGTGGCCCGTTTATTTTTATATTATACTCACCGATTCTGGTGTTGAATTTAATCTCGCCGACAGTATCTGGCTCTGGTCAACAACAAGTTATTCTTCAAGTTCTTTAGTGAAGAGGACAGAGTGTTTCCCTTCTGGAACGCTTCCCTTAGGCTAGCCGAGTTTAGAATCATTCGACCGACTTCGGGTGTCCCTGGTTTATATGGAACTGCAGCAGTTCCGATGCACTCTCATACGGGATCCGAATCTGATTCGTTGAGACGAAAGTCAGCGGTGTTAACCACTGGGCTACCTGAACCCAATGAACACTAAGTTTTGTTACCTCGAGATGCCGAATATCAATGGCTCGCGCACATCATGATATTTAGCGGAGGCCAAACCTTTCCAAACATGGCACTTCCATACCAATGACCTACTCTCTGCTTCGAAAAAGAAAATGATGCGCGATGCCGACCTTCCAGTCGCAGACCAACTTTTTTAAAAGTTCCACGAAAAGAGGATTTTTCTCCAGTGCTGAGAAACAGCAAAGAAACTGACAAAGAACCGTCAGATTGGTTGTTGATCAGACGGCTGTTGATCTGTTCGCCGAGCTTGACAATTGACTTGCAAACGTTTCGTCACCATACGAGGAGGCATAATCAGTGCGCACCCAAATGCGCACGTCTCCTCGTATGGTGACGAAACGTTTGCAAGCTTATTGTGAAGCTCGGCGAACAGACCAACAGCCGTCTGATCAACAACCAATAAACTCACCCGAGCTACCAATATTTCGGCACATTACGAACCGTCAGATATTGGAGCTTCGCAAATGTCTCTAGCTAGAGGAAAAGGCCTGATAAATCCCATGTCTCTTAATACGGTGTTTCCTACCCGTAAAATCGTGAGTCTTTTGTAGCCAATAGGCAGTAATCATCCGGCAGACTGTTCGTTCACTTTTATCTAACTGAGCCTATCAGTTTCTATTTTACCTAACGGATCAGCTGCTTGTCCACGCAACTTACACTGGAAGGTCTAAATCTACGCGATCCGACCCCATATACCGGACCCTACTTTGTTTCACTAAAGATCTGATCCATGTTCCACTCATTTATGAACTGATTGTGGGAGAACGCTACACAACTCGTTTCATAAATTCACTTACCGTTCAAATGAGATTAATCTTGTGACGAAAGCAAACCGAGGGGTAGTGAAAGATGTATTATCTTCTTTGAAAACCCGGAGTATTGCAAATCTAACAAATCTCTAAGAGGATTCTAGTCCAAAACCCTCCTGTTGTTTTAGCTAAACACTAAACTATCGGCCACAAGTAGTTGGTTGCAGTGCGATTCAGTGGACAGGATATCACGCCACTCGATGTTCCATGATGCAGTTCGCACTACATCACCCGGTGTTTTATCGAGCTTTTGGCTTGTGATTTCTCGGGGTCTATGCAGCGGTTCCTAAGCAAGTGATAATAATGATCAGATTCGCGTTGATTACCTGTCGGACAGAGCATTCTGAGGAATTCTGTCTACCTGGGGAAGAAGTTGATTGAAAAGATAAAACTATCCGGGTTTCCGAGCTTGGCACTAATATCTATTACAATCAAAAGTTATTTAATTTCGAAGGAAAAGAACGAATGTTCACTCTTGAGCAGAAAAGGTAATTTTCTACGAGAAGTCGTATTTTCATGCGAAAAAGTGAAGAAATCTCTTAGGCGCGAACGAAGCAGTTGTAAATGAATATCGCCTGATGTGACTTAGGTTTAAGGGAACTCAGGATGAATAATTGAATGAATGGGTGAAAGTAAGACACGGAGAAGTACCCTGAAACCTATTCATATAAATAAGGTAAATAGGACGGCTTTTCGAAACAACCGTTAATGGTACTGGTCAAGGCCATTTTATAACGGCGCATGAAATAAGCTATTATTTTGGTCACTTTTCCAATGATGAATCGGTACAAACTGTCAAATGTCTTGTAAAACAAATTCTACCTGTCATACGGTGGTCGAAATCAGATCGAAAGTTCTTGTTTCTTCCCCAGTTTCTTTTTTCTTGATGCCCGTCGGACACTTTTTGACTGACACACCTGATCTGTCCACCTACCTACGGATTAACTGGCCGAACATATTCTCCTGCTAACCGTCAGGTGAAAAGTTGCGTATATCATATTGCTAAGTTAACTTGAAGGTTGACACCATAGACTGATGCGAATTCTGGAGGAGACGTAAAGACTGGTGCTTTAGCTCGACTTTACCAAAAGACTTTACTAAAAGACGTGACACAAAAACCTGCTGCTACTCGAAACTTTGTGGTACTGTCAGCTCAATTTTTTACCCTTATATGATTTTAACGAAACAGGCCACTAAATATACCATTATCCCACTACCACTCACAGTGAGGACGTAAGTAAGGTTCTAACAATACAACTCAAAGCATTCTTTGACACTGCAAATAAGTTATGTTGACGGAAGAACTTAATACTTTGAGCTCCGTGCACAAAATAAGATAAGTCGAAGGTTCCACAAGTCGCTTAACCTAGATCTCATGATTAGATTGAGGGGCTGAAGGTTATAAGCTGGGGTTTCATGGCTTGCAACAGATAAGTACGCGGGAGCTATACACTTTCTATTTTCCGGATACGTCTACGTGACGGAATACTAACATCAAGGTCGGTCCTTAGAGGACCTCAGCGTATAAAAACAAACACAGTAAATTTCTTGGAAAACTTATCCGTTACTGGCTTACTTGTAAACCTTGCAGTCGATGGGTCAAGTCTAGTAATTCGGAGCGAAGTCTTCCGGTGTGCTGCATGTGTACAACATTTGCACACTCAAACAGGCGCCGGACCAAGTCTGGAGAATATGTTGACGCTTCAGTAGTGCTGCTGGTTTCAGAAGTGGCTTGCGTCCAGTTAACCGCAGCAGGTTCAGAGTGATATCCTTCGGAAGACATGGGATTGGGGTTCTGTTTCTTAGATTCGTGCACATCCTGATGAGCTGGACTGGTCAAATGACTTGTTGGAACTGAACCACTCTGAGGCGGGGCCGGAAAAAACATGTGGTACAAGTCCGGGTGTTCAGAACGAAGTAGTAGGTGTAGACTCCGTGGTTCTTCGGAAAGGTCTTGGGCACCTGAATCATATTCTGCACCTGTTAATTCATTATTGGATAAGCGGAGACGATTTAAGCGTGCGGAGAAACGTCCTAATTTCTAGTGGTCATATTTACTCGTTTAAGTAGTGTAGCGAGTAAGATTGCTTCTGGTCGAGCGAATGACGTCATCTGTGAGATGGCTGGGCCAACTTTATGGAAAAATGAGTTAGAGGACGTAGATGTACAGTAAAACATTTACCCAGACATGAGGATTACTGTTAGCTGAACTAAGTATAGCACGCGGATTCACATAGTGGTTCCGCACTCAAAAAATCACTTTAACTATGGAGACGCGATCGGTGTCCAAGGTCATTGGAATGACTAGAGCACTTAAAACAGCTGTCCCCGAGTTTGTGTCATTCGGACGGCTGAAATCAACGAGTGATTGGTCGCTAGTGGAAAACATAGGGTCAAATCGGAAAAAAGATCCTCGGATTGTATAACTTCATGAGCAAGCAGAGTAAAGGCGAGGTTCGTTCTACGTGTGGTGTTTATTGACTCGTGTGGACACCTGTGGATGTGATATTTACAGATAAACGGCATATGCTTTGGAAGGCAGCGCAATTATGAACGAAAAAATCAGCTATTTCAATGATGTCTCATCAGGATGCGAGGTATATTGTCTCAGTGGTTGGACCCCAAGTTCCGTCCAAAGTTAATGATTGGAACGACGGAACCGAAAAGACTACTGATGGTGATGCTACAAATACCAAGACTAAGGGCGACTAAGCACAAAGTCAAGTCTGAGCTAAAGCCAATTTTAGAGGGTCCTTGCAACAAATGCTTATCTCCTTACTCAAACACTGGAGGCGACCTTATCACATGAAGAAAGTGGTTTTTATGCAGTTTGAATTCTGAGTTTAAACGAATGGCAATCGGGAGGGAATAGATTGGTGATAATTACGCATCGGACTAACACTTCTGTCAAAGGAAAAATTTAGCAAAAATGCCTTACACCCGATTCGCTCAAAGAGACCTTGTCTTCAACGCACTTCTTAAATTAAATAGTAATTTCACCCGGTCACTTAAGTAAGCCACCCTTAAGGAAGCACTCTTCACGTCACTGGGCTCAAGGTAATATTTCTGAATCCACTTTGGTCATTCGAATTCACCATCAACCAACATACAACAATCAAATTCCGGCGAGCAGAATAATGTCTGGTCAAAAACGTAGGTTTGTTGATCCTGTGGACAATGAGAAACAAACCAGTATTGTACCTCCGTGTATATAGGGGTCCCCTAAATTTCGTCCCCGGAATAAGAACTTCTACTCACGAATGAATCAATTTGCAAGGGTTTCAGGAAAGTTATCACTATGTTGATGGACGACACAATATCAGTCCTCGAGGAGGCACCACGCTGGTTTCAGAAATGAGGATATCTAAACATTCCGATATAACAGCTGACCTCTGCCTGGCTGTTTTGAGCTAGGACGTTCAGAGGCGTTGCTTAGCATTCATGTGTGATGAACCTGAGAAGTGAACTTCCTTTAAGAAAATGACTTGCGTGCACTTCTAAGCTGCGTGAGTTAAACGGTGTCTAGCCTACTTTTTATAACAGTAGCGAACACTTACATGTGTCTTGAGCCTAAGCAACAGATAGAGACTCACTGGTGTTCAGCCCAGACCCTTAGACCGTCAAATCATGAGAATTTAGATGAACTCAAGGACAACTAGGTCAGCGGAAAAGACTCCACCAGCTAATGTAAAAGTGGCAGTGACTAACGAAATGAGGGCCGCAGGGCCAGTTAATTTCCTGAATGTGACACCTTCTCGGCCCGCAAACATATGAAACGCAAAAGTAGACTTGGAGTGATTGTTCTACACTGTGGCATCCCCCATGAAATCAAGCAAAACATCAAGAAGACAATATCTGTCTCACAACCCTCTGTGAAAATTAATAGGCACACCTTCAAATTGGTTGTTGAGTCGCCTTTTAAAACAAATACGGACCGAACATATGGATAATCGAATAACTGGAAAACAAACAGACGTTCTGGACTGGTTTAATCCATTTCGAAACAAAGGCCGTGCCGCGTAAAAGGTTCTGCAAGGGACTGTTGGGCAAAATTTAACAGCCCTTTAGTATGGTCAAGTCCTGCTACGGCAATATGATAATTGATCACCTCAGCGTTGATTCATCGGGGAATTTGTGTTCAAAACTCTATCGTAGGCAACGTTCTTTACGTCGTGATAAGCCTTAGGGACACCAGTAAAAAAGCTCATGAAAGCTCAAATGTTACGATGTGATATTTTGACGAACATCCCAATGTCTGATTGCAAATATTAAACAATCCGCTGGAATACTGGCCTTCATTCTCCTCGCAGGTCACATAGAAGAGATGAAGCTATCATTTTAACTTAATGAAATACACTCATTTGAAAATTACACCGGTATTAGGGAGAAGGTAGAATGGATCTCCTGTTTTTATTAATATTCAGCTAAGCTGCTGAGAAGTTTTCTGCAACATTATGGGCGTTCCAAACTAAAGATGCTATCTTGTTTTGGCTGGGGTATCGCAATGATTTTCCTGGCTTAACTGCAGGCAACTTCGTTTACCAAGACGTGGGGATGACGGAAGCAGCCAGACCAAGAGCAGCATGACCCCATAATACGAGTAACTGTTTCCAGCTATCTTGGAATAAAGTCATATCATCCTCGACGACAGAAGTGTGAATCTGATGGGCTGTTTCCCCCAGATGTCCAAACATGTCCTCACTCAGGGAAAAATCGATGCTACTTCCACCGACGAAGGACGGTTTAAAAAATACCGGCCGTAAAGACCTACATACTAAGATCACAAAATGGTTGATCGCCGGCGAACTATCCAACGTGAACGAGAAACACAAACGTTGTCATGACCCCGATGTATCTCCTGTGCAGATCAGTATCAAAGGTGAGACATATACGCCTTATTCCCTGCACCGTCGGGCTGGGAGGCTCATTCCAGTCGAGAAGATCAGACTGCTGAAGTATCGGCTACCAGCAAATCCCCCCCCCCAAAATTCGCCTGCTCGGTGCTTCGAGATTCTGATCTCCGAATCAGAGGCTAGGAAAAGGTCACGAACAAAACGATCCCTCCTCGGTTTTACGTAAAAATCTCAAAAGGGTACCTCAATCAGACCCTAATCCTCAGTCCAGGCGACCGAGAAGTACCCATTCCAGGCGCGCATCTTTGTTCTACAATGATGATAGTGATAGAGGCAGTATGCCGTGTCGAAAAAATACAACGCAATATCGGGACTATCGTACCAGTTGCAACATACAGCTGCGTTTTGGTATAATGAAAACGAGAGGCAGCATCACGTTTACACTAACGCAACTTGCAAGTGGATGTAATTCGCCAGTTGCGTTGGAGTCAAAGTACAATATGAGGCTGAGAGAGACTCTGGATCTGCGCCCACCTAACGAGCTTCGACAATGCCGATGATGATCCGCCGAACAGTTTTCAGCAACGTTATGAGTAGTGAAATGACCTGCTTTTTCAGGGTTACACTACAGATGGAGTGCTATCAAAACAGCGGAATTCTCGCTCGATAAGGACCGATAGAAAATGTTTAATGCATTAACAATCGCTTTGTGAACGAGTCTGTCTGACCAGGCCATGCCTTAAAATAGTGTAAGCGAATAAAATGTATTGTACAGCTGAAAGTGGGGGGAAATTTGTTTGTGTTTCCATACACCACAGCCCAACATCCCCACTGTATTCGTCCCTTTTCTGCAGATAAATATATCAGGTGCAAAGTTGGTTGAATTCGATCGGTTTACACGAGGAGCTTTTCAGTTCAAGTCAGATCCTGACTCCGATTTGACCGTAAATGGAAATGCCCGGAAGCAATGCATCGACTTCCGTGTTTCTCATAAGCCCATTGTAGATCAGTGTTAAAGGAAAATAGGGCTGAATAACTCTGAGGTAAGTTTCAACACGTACAATAAAAAAGACTGGCGAAGTGGCAAACGAAAGTCAAAGGCACGGAAGAAGTTGGTTTCAGGCATCAGTTTATAGGCATAAATTGACTAAACCTATAACTGATTTCCATCCCATCGCCGTCTACTGAAGATTTGTCAACCAGTGCGAATATCGAGGTTCGAAGATAAAGGCATCTTTGTATCTATGAGCTTCGCGTCGTTTCCTATGTGGAGGTGTAAGTTTCACAAAATCTTTGTTACGGTCACAGTAATATTAATAAGATAGTCTAGTCATCAGAGTTTTGACTACATATTAGCGACAAAGATCCTAGGTTAGGAGAAAAATAACTTTTCCGCCCTGACTGTGTAGAAACCGCATTTTGCAGACGGCTGCGATGCGCTTCAGAAAATACCAAACCAGGTAATAATGAAAACGTTTACTGATAAACACCAAAATATGAGACGACCTGCAGTTGCCTATGTCTTCCACTATTAGACTCTCGACGCCATCACTACTGTTATTGTGCCTCTCATCACCACCGTCTAATCGCAGCAGTCGAAACTAGCGCCCTCCGAGTCATCGCAATACTCTTTATCATCCCTACCGTCAGCCCAATCATGACCCTTGACATCATCACAAACGTCATCTTCGTTTCCGTGTTGATTATATGGATCGTCATCGTCATCATTTACAGCCAAATTAGTGGTGTACATCCACAAGTCCCAGACATGAAAACACGTGAAAGTTCAATGTCAATCCCGAGGTGACCAGGTCAGTTAGCGACAGATTCTGGGCCATCACAAACACTCATACCCAACACTACCAAAACAAGCCGCAGAAACCAACGTTACATAGCAAGACATAGTCTCATTTGCTACTGAAACCTCGTTTTCCCGACAAATATATGAGTTTTTGTGAGAAACCGATTGCGGACGTAATGGGTCGATTTCTCGAAAACTAAAGAACTGTAAATCAACTCCTAATCTGACTGTTACAACCACTCCGAGAAGCCACAGTAAATGAGTTTTCGCCACTATTAAAAGAGCTGAAATAAATTTCCACCACTCTTTCAGTTTACTCTCGACTA